GAGAGAGAGAGAGAGAGAGAGAGAGAGAGTTTTCCAGCCATGCACGCAGACAGATAGAGAGAGGTTACTCTGTGTGTGTGTGTCAGAGAGAGAGAGAGAGAGAGAGAGAGAGAGAGAGAGACAGAGAGACAGAGAGAGACAGAGAGAGAGAGAGACTCTTTCTCTCTCTCTCACACATACACACACACACACAACCTCCTGATCAGTCGGAAACAGTCTGCCACAATCATGTTTTTTTTTAGTGCATAGTGAATATCACGACACAAAAACAAAATTAAAAAAAATGCCCAAGCAGTGTGACAACAACAGCCCCGCCCCCCTGTTTGTCCCTTTCCTTGGCCGCAGCGTGGCTGCGGCGGGTCCACTTGTAAAAATAAAATAAAAAGGTGCCTCACCACCTGCCTCGTTTCTGGAGACCTTCTGTCTCCAAAAACGAGGCACTGCCAGAATCCTGTTTCAATGGGTGCCAGTTCTATTTTTTTTCGCTGCCTGACATCTGGTGGCCAACCTCTTGTTTATGTTTTTTTTTTTTTTTTTTTTTTTTTTTATTGCCTTTGGCCTCTTGTCTAGTACGTGCACGTGTTCCCATGTGCGGATGAACCAGCAGGGACACTTGCAGTCTATTTTCTCTGTTTCAGTGGGCCCACAAGCTTACTCCCTTGTTGCATTACCAGGCGTTCCCCGCGCCCCGAAATTTCACAGTGACTAAATCGTGATTCTCAAGTTGGCTGAGGCCATGTACTGGTGGTTTAGTGCTTGGAGTAGGGGAAAAGATAGCATGCTGTCTTTAGAGAGACGGGACTCCGTCTCTTGGATTAGACTGGAAACCTGGCTGTCCCTGAATGAAACTTTGTGTATTCACTCTCTTTGCTTTGGGCACTGGGCCCATTTGAAATAGAGAAGACCTTCACGTTAAAAAAAGAAAGAAAGACACACAAGAGGACACGTCAGGGAAAAAAAAAAAAAAAGGATCTCAAAGTGGCGTACATATGACAAGTAGAAATAAAAGAGCTCCCCAAACTGAGGCAGCGAGTTCACCTGAGTGGTTAACCCATCCATCTTTCGGTCCTTCAAGATCTTGTGCCCGGCTTCAAAGGGTGTGTGACACTGTGTGTGCATGCTTATGTGTGCGAGTTATTGCACTCTTTTGAACAAAAAACATTACCAAAAGGAATGTGGCACAAAAAGAAAAGTCTACCAGTGCAACAAAGAAAGGAACAGGGAACAAAAATGAGAAGCCAATGTGTGAAAAAAATTCAAAAAATAGAAGGAATGGAGCAGAACAAAAAACAAAACAGCAACATGAGCGCACCCAGAAACAAACCCACATAATGGAAGGACTGACACCAGCTGAGCAAAAATCGTGAACACTGACAATATCATATGTCCTCAAGTGACGATCAGTGCAGATTGAGGAAACTGGATACGTATAAATGACCCCAGCTGAGCAAAAACCGTGAACACTGACAATATCATATGTCCTCAAGTGATGATCACTGCAGATTGAGGAAACACGATACATATAAAAAGTAAGGCGTGGCTAGAAGGGGGAAAAAAAAGAAAAACTTAAAAAAAGAAAAAAGAAAAAAGAAAAAAGAAAAAACTTCAAAAAAGAAAAAAAAAGGTGTGCACGACAGTTAAGGTATAGAGTATTGTCTAGAAAATGCTGTGGTCAGTCCGGATATCAGAAATATCATTCCAACAGTCATAGTTTCATTGATGGCGAACGAAAAACTATTACAGAAAAAAAAACCCGCAGAAGTCTCTCGTAGCAAACTACAGGAAACAGCCAATCTGAGCATTGAAAAAAATAAATTAAACACAAACACTTAATGAAATCAGAATACACATTACCTGCAGCCGATGGAAGAATTCTGCAGTCAACATTGTCTGCTTCTTGTCTTTACATTCAATCCGATAGCCAAAAAAGTGGCCTTCCTGTTCGTGCCCATTCTTCCTTCTCACTTTCCAACTAATCATGTCCCCATCTTGACGATCAGGAAGGCATGATGGCATCAACAGGCTGCTCTTGGGATCGTCACAGACCTTATAGGCAAGCTCCATTCTCAACATCAGATTTACTATATCCTCCACACCAACCTCGCATTTCCCTGAAACAGCTTCGGACAACACGCGTTCTAAAAGATCCACATCAGCGATCCCATTGAAGACTCCACTGGCATGAAATTCTGTTGGGATGAGCTCACCAACGAAATTGCAACAGAACCACTGGGGGTTTGTAATTACAAATGGCATTGGCTCAAACCAAATAACTTGCCCGATGTCATGCAGATAGCTCGCCATGATTTTCAGGAGGGGATTGCCATACAACTCAGTCTGACAAGGTCCTGATTGTACTCCGCTGAGACTTCTCTCTTGATACTTGCTCGCGATGTCTCCTGACCAGCAGATTTCACAAAATTTGGTCCAAGTCATAAGGGGAATCGTTGATACACTGGACTTCACCACCAAGGTTTGCACTCTCTCCATGATTTGCATCACATTGGTATTGTGAAGAAGTGCCTTGGCCTTGCTGAACACAAACTTCTTGACTTTTTTTGCATCACGATTCTTTCTCGCATCAATAAGGATTACCTCGTCCACAATATCGAGTGTCTCGTGAAACTCCTCAGATATCCAGCTGACCAGCTTATCAGCCCGAGAGTCCAAATCACACAACTTTTGCTTCTGAGTCAAGTGGGGATTGCATATGGGAATTACACAAGGCTTTCTCTCCGCTTTGCAGTTTGTCACGATGAATCTCATCCAATACCTCAATCGTTGAAGAAGTTCATCCCTCTGTCTCTTCTCAACGTCGGCAGCTGAGGTGTTTCCACTTGAGATGCCACTGATTACTTGCTCATATGCGAGTACCGGATCAAATAGAAGCAAGAAGATGGGTGGAACTGCCATGTCCCCTCCTAGAGTTGGCATGAACAGATCATGGATGGTGTGGTACTCAGGTTGTCCACCCAAGTCCCAGAATTGGATGTTGACCCCTTTCAAGGCGACATGGACCATCTCAATGCCCTTAGTTCGAGGCTTGGCAGGCCGATCACCAGGCGCCATCTTCTTCATCTTGTCTATGTAATGCTTTAGTGCTCCACGACAAATAGAGTCCTTCAGAGTCGACTTACCCACTTCAGGTTCACCGATCAAAAAACATTTGATGTGGCTGCTGGTGGTGCGTTCCAAGTGTGCAACAACCTCAAGAAACTGCTGTTCAATCATGTTTCTGGCCAACTTATGATCAATAACTCTGTCACATCTCGCATTGAAAGTAAATCGTTGAAGTGTCTTATTGGACTCCAAGGTAGAGAGCATCTCTGCCCCCAATTCAGATGGCAGTGTCATTGAGAGTGGGAAAGTTCCTAATCTGAGCACTTCTAGACAAACATTACTCCGCAACCCTTTCACAATCGTTTTCATGTCCGACTCACGATTGCCTTCTCGAAAAAGAATTTCCAGTTTCTTAAGAGTGTTGTTTGTCGCCAGCATGGCTGCAAGGGCATCTATCCCTTCCTGGCTAATAAGCATTCCGTTGGTGAGGCTCACATCTTTGAGTTGAGATTTTCTTCGCACTCGCTGCCCTTGAAGCCCACTATCCATTTCCAGGGGTGTGACCAACGGTTCTGCAGGAGCATCACCATCAAAGCCTATGTTCATAGATGCAAGGCTTTTGGCTAAAGTGGTGAGTGCCCTTTCCGGAACCCACCAAAGCTCGCAAGACTGTAGGCTCTCACTAGCCAGCAGAGCGTGGACTATGTCGACATACATGTCTTCAAAAGCTTCGCTTTCCATGTACTCAAAATAATCAAGTCTGAATTTCAGCCTTTCTAATGAATGGGCATTGGAAATCATACCTTGAATCAATGTCGCACACTCATTCCCAACACTGCCAGGGAATATTCGAAGGCATTTAACGCCACAGTAGGGCTGCTGAAAAAAACCAGAGAGAATTTGCAAAAAACGGGCAGGTTGATCAAACTGACCCAGATAGCTGATTTGGATTTCTTCAAGGGAAGCAATGGAGTTACCACCTGAGGATAATGCTTTTGCAAGAGACCTCAGAAAACCCTCGATAACCGATGAACGGGGGAACCATGATTCTGGAATATAATAGAAATCGAATTCAAAGGACTTAAATGAGCTGATGTGCTCGGCTAATACGCTCATCATATGCAGCCACAGCTCCGCCGTAACAATGGCATCATCACCTATTGAAGCCACAAACCGATCAAAACAGCTTTTGAAATCGGAGCTAAAAAAAACTTTTTTTTTATTGGCTGCCATCTCCTCAACAGTCAAGTCGACATGATCCATTAGCTTCTTGTAATGTTCCTCTGATATTGGGTTGGGTGTCCAAAACTTACTACTGTCCATAGCTGCACAGTGTGAAGTCTCCTCCAAACTTTTTCCTTAGTATTTTGAATCAGAACCCAAAGCGAAGATCCTCCGTCTAAGCTCGTGGGCACCGGTAGAGTACTCTCAGACTGACACCTTCAGCCCCACATAGCTGGAGAACCAAGCATTAATCTCGTCCAGTAATACCACTCTAGCACTCTTTCTCACACTAAGAAGATTGTTGCCACGGTTTTGCATAGTTTTCCGTAATCTGGCAACTTAATGTTCTATCGCTTGTCTCAAGGAAAAGGATCTCTCCAAAGAGGACTGACAAGAATAAAGTTATAGAAGTCAGCACACATCACTCAAATTGTGTGCCCCACACTCTAAGAGTACTCTCCACGGACTGCCTGCTGTGACTATCACAACGCGGAAAGAAAAGATGACACAAAATATATATATCTGATAAACTGCTCTAGAAGGGAGAAACGTGGTAGGACTGGCACAGGCTGAGGCCATCCAACCTTGTGACGATGAAGGGTACACACACGCAATTTTGCTAATAAACACACATGAGGTTGAATCCTGATGGGATCAAAAGAATACAATAAGGTCTCCTAACTCCTTTCATAAGAAAGGAGTTATTCGGGGAAAAAAAAGGTTTAGAAAACCCAGGATGAGGTTGAGTGAGCTGTCTGTCTAGCCATGCTAAAAGGCTGGCAAATTTGAAGTCAAGATTCTTTCAGCATTTGACTAAGCTAGAGCTTAGGACTCATCTCTCCTTCCTGCATTTCCCGGCGAGTAGTGGAACAATATCTGCGCATGCATGGAAAGCACAAAAAGACAAGGGTGATCACAATTAAGTAGACAGGGAGACACTTCTGAGAAGTCTGTGTGTGAATTACCGCTACCTTCTTAACCCGAAAAAAACGTACGTACCTTGTATACGAATACAACGCACGGGGTACGTTGTATTCGAATACAACGTACGTACGTTATGGAACGAGTTTTAGGGTACAACTTTTCAGAAGCCTGTAGTACCGCCATTGTTTTTATTTTTATCTCAAATTTGGTTGGGAATTTCCCCAAGACCCTCAGGCAAAAGTTGTTTGCATTGCAATGTTGTACAACATACTTTTTTTTCGGATTTTTTACTGAAGTTTTTTTTTTTTAATCGAAATTCTGAAAAAAATCAGTAAAAAATATTTTCATCCTCGTTTTATTTTTTTCTCGAATTTTCTCATGAATTTCGATAAGACCCTCAGGCAAACGTTGTTTGTATTGCATTGTTGTATAACATTTTATTTTTTTCGGATTTTTTTATTATTTTTGAAAAATCAAAGTTCCAAGAATTCGATTACAACATACGTACGTACGTTGTATTCGAATACAACCTACGTACGTTATATTCGAACGTACGTTCTATTTGGGGAAAAACAAGCGATTTCTGAAAACCTGATTTCCAGAGGTAATTCGAATATACCGTACGTACGTTTTTTTCGGGTTAAGAAGGTAGGTGTTATCCTGCAGCCACTGCGTCTACCGTCCTCACCGAGATAGAACGCCCGCTCATCATTATCGCGTTATCGAGACTGAAAGTTGCCTCAAATACATCTATAATGACCGGGCATTGCTAGATTCCGATGAAGACAGTGACTCGGTGACTGCAGTCCCGGACTTGGTTTGTTGGCAGTCCAAGGGTTTACTTTCGTTTTTGATCCAGACCAGGCCAGGCATTCCAAACCAACCAGCAAGACCTACACTACCCCATGCGTCCACACTGGCCCCTTCCTTATTTGAAAGTGCAGATGTTCTGAGACTTGACATATTTTCACTGCCCCCGTTCACTGCCCCCGCCCACCCCCCCGGGGTTCCCCAACCCCACCTCACCCCAATAAGAGAACACAAAAACTTTATTAAAACTCATTCTCTCATTTCCTTTTATTTTAATCATAAAAGAATTTACTTTTGAGAATTAGATTTCGTTGGGATTTGGAAGTCATTGAAGTGCTTCAAAGCGTAGATTGAATACTCTTTTGAAAGACTAAGTGAGCTCCTCACCAATGGAAAGGAGCCACCTCAGCGTCCAAAAATACAAAAACAGAAAAAACGTTCATCGCTCCTAGTAAATTCGACAAACGAAAACAACATTTGACATGCAGCAACTGTCTGAAATATTTATATTCCTGAATTACTTGGGTCGGCTCAGTGATGATATCCGGAGGCCGTCGCACTTTTTCCCCCCTAAAATATTTATTTTCTTTCTCCATTTGATTCCCCGGTCAGGATAACTTTGATTTCTCTTCTATCTGTCTGTCTGTCTCTTCTCCATTTGATCCTCCAGTCGGGATAACTTTGATTTCTCTCCTCTCTTCTCTCTCTCTCTCTCTCTCTCTCTCTCTCTCTCTCTCTCTCTCTCTCTCACACACACACACACACACACACACACACACACACACACANCTCTCTCTCTCTCTCTCTCTCTCTCTCTCTCTCACACACACACACACACACACACACACACACACACACACACACACACACACACACACTCTGTCTCTTCACAAAAGGAGAAAATTCCACCATCGCAGGATGACCACCTTCGCGCCAGATGCGATGCACATACATAACCTTTCACTCTCCACGCTCTGAAAAAAAAAAATCGCGATTGTTATCCCCCCCCCTTCACGTTCTGCCCCTCGGCCATGATGCCGTTTGGCTATTGTACGGCCGCTTGTTGTTTGTTGCCTCGTTACTTGCGCGAACTCAAAGACTTGTCTGCCGACTGCAACTCCTCCTTCCTCTCACCGCCTGCACACTGCACCTCGTTCTCCCTACGGCTCCCCTCTCTCTACCTTCTCGAGTTACGCTATTTGCAGTGTTGCCTTCTCCGCTCCTTTTTGCTTTCTCCTCACAGCTAACGAAACGTGTGTCGTACTCTGGACACCAGCAACAACAAAACTGATGTCTATTTATGCAGAAAAAGAAAAAAACGAAAAAGTAAAAACGAAAGGAAAAACGAAAAGCCTCTCATTTATTGTTGCGTGCTTATGAAATCCAACCCCTTCATTCTGGCTCGCCTCTCCATGGCTGGCCACCAAATCGGGGGCCCCTCTTCACTGCCATCACTCGGGCCGCGAGATCGCCTGCAGCGCTGATTGGCTCTTCGGCGAATGGACTTGAGAGCTCATTGCGCGCCTCCAGACCGTCTCCACCGCTGATTGCCGCAAATCGGTTGAACCAAGGGAATAAAAAAAAGAAACAAGTGGGGCAGTTGTCTGCCAGAAGTCTGCGCCTACCCGTGTTTGGAAGGGATTTTTTTTTTTCTGGGGGGGGGGAAGGGGGGGGGGGGACGCGACAACACTCACATTCATGGTGTTCCGGGACTCACTCGGACTCGTTTAGGGAAAACAGGTAGTCAACCCCTGCCAAAAAACGTACAAGGGGGTACACAGACTCACTGGGACTCAATTAAGGAAAAAAAGGTAGTCCACCCCTGGTAGACAAACTACAGGGGGTTGTTGACCCCGAAAAGCCTGCGGGCCGGTTGATCTACCTGTTTCTCACCTCATTTTACCCATATGGAGGCATTGGTGCAGGGGGTGATTTAACCTAATGCCGGACATCCGGAGCGTAGTAGATGCATCTTGGTGAATTGCCCTATTATTGAGTCATTGGTGCAAAGGGTTATATAACCAAATGCTGGTAAAATTGAGACATCCGAGCTGTAATAAAGGCATCCGGGTAAATTGGCCTTTTCTTTATGGGGTGTTACTCCCTTTTCTCTCCGATAATCGTACACTTGGTTTTTTTTTTTTTTTTTTTTTTTTTTTCCCGCCCTATTGCGGCATTGCTGCGGGGACTGATATAAGCGGAATGCCCGTAGAATTGAGACATCCGAGGTGTAGTAGAGGCATCCGGGGGCCAAGTCCCACTAGCAGCGTTGAGCTACCTCAACGCCTGAATCTGGACGTGTTTGTGGAGACGTGCAGTTCAGGAAACTTAACACCATTTCTGCACATCTCCGCAGAAGCGTCCACATTCAGGCGTTGAGGTTGCTCAACGCTGCTAGTGGGACTTGGCCCCCGGGTAAATTGCCCTCTTGTTTATGGTTCGTTACTCCCTTTTCTCTCCGAGAGTCATAGAAGAGTGTTTTTTTTTTTTTTCGTTCCTCGAATCTCCCAAGAGAAATTTGAGAATAAAGAGAAGAATATTATAATAGCTTAAAAAAAAAGAAAGAAAAAAAAAAGAAAAAACACCAAAATTCTATGCAAACAAGATTCAGGACTGATTCTTTTTACAGAGCTGACAAAGACAAGTCAAAATTTATTTTTGCTGCGGTCGGGTTAAGCCTGTCCGGAGTGCCTGGCCCATCCCTGTGGGCCGTGGCTATTCATGTGAGGGACGCTGGGTCCGTTTCCCAGCTTGTAATTGAAAAAAGCTCCCTTTTTGTTAAAAAAAAAGAAAAAAGAAGATTCTCTCCGATGGGCCCACGCTAATCTACTCGGCATCCTTCCAAGTTTCAATTTCAAATGGATGTCGCGAAGGACTGTCCTTCATGTTTTTTTTTTTTCTTTTTTTCCCTCTTCCTTTTTCTTACGTTTTAGTATCTACCCATCACTCACTACGCTGAAGCCTATACAGCGGACCCGTGCAAGCAGAGCTACCTCTCACAATTGAGGGGATGCATGTTGCTGTTTCTTTCCTTTTTTTTTTTTTTCCCCCACCGCTGCTGGATTTATTTTTTTATTTTTTATTCTCCCGAAATTTAGGCGTACCAAATAGTCAAGCGTAGCTGCTAATTATGTGAGTGTTTTGTTTTCTCTTTCCCCCCGTCCTCCCCCCCTCCCTCCCTCTTTAAGAAACAGACAGTGTTTTCGGTATTTGATGTGCTCGTGCAGCTTGAAGCTTATTATTACTATCCTCTGTTCTTGTTGACGTCATTAATGATGTGATCTGCAGGTTAAAGCGATGAGAAGACGCGTAGCAGCATCGAAGTCGCATCGAAGTTGCCCGCCTTCGCAGAACCCACGTGTCGGCTGCGCCATGCTCCTAGCTTGCCACGTGGCGGGTGCTCGTACACTTCAAGAGGCCTCGTCAGCACGACCACTTTCGATGGCATCGATCGATTCGGAATGCCATTCGAAGCTGCGCCGACGATTTCTTCTC